CAATGGATAAGACAAAGTGCGGGTGATTATTTTTTTAATTGAAATCAATTATGAAGCCAGACATCTGGCAGAGAACATTTAGCATGGACTGATGAACAGAGATGTGACATTGAATTCTTTCTCTCCTCATTAGACTTGAACTCGTACACTGGGTTTGTTCGCGTTTGTTTCTTTGGGTGTTGAAGCTGCTGCTGCTTATCCAGAGCAACTTGGACTTCATTAATTGCAGTGCTGTGCCCTCAGGGCAACATTACTCAAGTGCACATAGAGTTACATTCAGTTCCAGAGACACTTTAACTCGCAATTGGAGGTTTTATTTTACCAATACTGATCTTTATTAATTATGTCTTCAGGGTTCAAGTCTGACTTTTTTTGGATTGGCTGTCTGTCAGGGTGCAAGCTCAGTGTGATAAACTGGTTGCACTGAAAGAGGAATTTACTGATTTGTAATTTGGAAAGAAATTTTGCACATTTATGTGGCAAATTACATCAAAGTACAAATGCTTTTTATCATCTAAGTATAACAAATTATGCTTATTAGGTAGAGTACTTCATGGGTTTCTTCATGGGTTACTTTGTGGGTTTCTTCCGGGTGCTTTGGTTTCCACCACACTCCATTGACCTGCACTACATTTACATTTAGTCATTTAGCAGATGCCTTTATCCAAAGCGACTTACAAATGAGGATAAAGAAGCAATTTACACAACTATAAGAGCAACAATGAATAAGTGCTATAGGCAAGTTTAGGTCTGTAAAGTCTTAAGGCTGATTTATACTTCTGCGTCAAATGCCGGTGTATGCTATGGTGCTGACGCATAGCCCTTCGCCGAGGCCGTCGGCGTCGCTGACGTGCACCTCTCAAAAATGATAACTACACGTCGCAACGACGCGTAGCGCAAGCTTTATGATTGGTCGGCTTGGTAGCGCTGACGAGTCTGGGCGGGACTGAGAGCCGCGCGAATGGCGCGAGCTGGACGCGAGCCCAATGGAGTGATTGTTTACAAGTGTGAAGTCTCGTGAAGGAGCTCCTGATGGAAAGTTTTGTTTTGTGTTTACCTCATAGTTAAAGTTGTTGCACGTCCGCCGGTTCCTGCCTAAAAATGAGCGAGTTTGAGCCACTTGTACATCCAGGAAGTGTTCAGGAAAAGCAAAACAGCAGAGAAGAAACTCGACACAGAGGAACATTTACACCTCACTTCCAACTAGCATTTCGGAAGTGTTAATACAGACCAACAGAGACAGCGCGCAGAATTATAAATGCACAGCCACGCGCGTTGCATGCGCCATGGGTCACGCCGGTCACTTGACGCAGAAGTATAAACCAGGCTTAAGAAGGAAAGCATTGGTATTTTTATTTTTTTTACAGTTAGTGGTATATCCAGAGAGGAAATTGCAGATTAGGAAGTGAAGTGCAGACTAAATAGTTGAGTTTTTAGTCGTTTCTTGAAGACAGCGAGTGACTGCCTTTCTGATGCAGTTAGGGGGTTCATTCCACCAACTGGGCAGATTGAGTGCGAGAGTTCGGGAAAGTGATTTCTTCCCTCTTTGGGATGGAACCACGAGGCGACGTTCATTCACAGAACGCAAGTTTCTGGAGGGCACATAGATCTGCAGAAGTGAGAGCAGATAAGAAGAAGCAAAGCCAGAGGTCGCTTTGTAGGCAAATGTCTGAGCTTTGAATTTGATGCGAGCAGCAACTGGCAGCCAGTGCAAACGGATGAGCAGCGGAGTGAATTGGATAAAATTGGTCGTAGTATATGAGTGTCTGTGTTAATGAGTGTGTATGAGTGTTTCCCTTTACTGGGTTGCGGTTAAAACAAGGGCATCCGCTGCTTAAAACATATGCCAAAATAGTTAGCTCTTCATTACGCTATGGCGACTTTTAAAATAGGAAAGTGAATGAAGGAATGAATACTGCAGAATGCTATTAAACATTGATATCATACAGTCGTAAAATATGTGCCAGAAAGATGGCAACTTTTCAGTAAACCAATTTTTTTTTTAACTAAATAATATTTTTATAGTGTTTTCATAGATGTTAAAGGCTCTTCATGGAGACATCGTTGTCTATAAAGAACACTATAAGAAGTTTTCCTGACACACCTATTTGAGAAAAATATTTTATATACATTGTATGCAATATGGGCGACGCAGTCGTGCAGTAGGTAGTGCTGTCGCCTCACAACAAGAAGGTCGCTGGTTCGAGCCTTTGCTGGGTCAGTTGGCGTTTCTGTGTGGAGTTTGCATGTTCTCCCTGCATTGGCGTGGGTTTCCTCTTGGTGCTCCGGGTTTCCTCCACAGTCCAAAGACCTGCGGTACAGGTGAATTGTGTAGGCTAAAATGTCTGTGGTGTATGAGTGTAAATGAGTGTGTGTTTGGATGTTTCCCCGAGATGGGTTGCGGCTGGATGGGTATCCGCTGCATAAAAACGTGTTAGATAAGTTGGCAGTTCATTCGGGTGTGGCGACCCCAGATTAATAAAGGGACTGGGCCAAAAAGAAAATGAATTAATGTATGCAGTGTTATATTATGTTATTATGTATGTTATGTAATACATATTATAATACAAAATAACATGTATTGTTAATATTAACATAATTGAATTCTTTATGTATTGACATTTAATTATATATGTCATTAATTGAAATGTATTTAAATATGTGTGACACAGTGGCTCAGTGGTAAGCACTGTCCCCTTACAGAAAAAAGATCACTGGCTCCAGTCCCGGCTGGGTCAGTTTGCATGTTCTCCCCATGTTGGCATGGATTTCCTCTGCGTGCTCCGGATTTGCCCACACTCCAAACACATGCACTATAGGTGAATTGAAAAAGCTTTTAAAAAAAATTGTCCATAGTGTATGAGCGTGAATGAGTGTGTATGAGTGTTTCCCAATACTGGTTTGGAAACTGCCGTGTAAAACATATGCTGGATAAGTTGACGGTTCATACTGCTGTGGCGACCCTGACTAAGCCCAAGGAAAATTAATGAATGAATGTAATCAAATATACTTCAACAAAAATACATATAGATTTATGCATTTATAACATTCATTATCAATGTTTGAGGTTTTTTATTATGTTTCTCAGGTTAGTTTATGAACTGAAATGTCCAATATTTGTGACATCTCGATTCTGCTGATTTCACATCTGAGCACTTCTGATCATTCATATTGTAAACTGAAGAGTTTACACTCAAAAAAATCAACTAGGCATGTATTGGATTTTACAAAATAAAAATTTGTCAGATTGAAAAGAACAAATCAAGTTTACGTATGTTAAATGATTAATTCATGTTATTTGAAACTGAATCAAGAAATAATCAAATGAATTTGATCAGAACATGTTGATTCAATGAGACTGAGACGCTTCAAATCGACAACTCTCACTCAAGGGACTAAGCCGACAAGAAAATGAATGAATGAATTTAAACAACAATATTGAACAAGAAATTTATTAGCTGATTTAACAAGACATAATTTTGTTAAAGTAAAGCTTTAGTGTTACATTGAGTAAATTAGAATCAATTTAATTAGAATAACACAATACAAACATTTTGAGTCAATTTGCAAAGAAGTTAGACTGACATATTGAAACCATGTTTTATCTACAAATGTGCTTTGTGTTCATATAACATGTTCAAAGCAGTTCAGGTTTACTTGATTGGATTAGATGCATAAAGGGTGCCACGATTAAATCATGTTCATTCAACATTTTTTTTTTTTTTGAGTGTATTTTGGGCTCTAAAACTTAAATTATGTTTTTTTTTTTTAAATGTAGATTGTGTCGAGACAGCTTAACATAGAAGTTCCAATAAATTGAAACTGTCAATCCAGTTTTCAGAGTTGAAGTTCAGTTCAGTTCAGTTTGGTTTAATTTTCACCGCTGAAAGTCCAAACACTGAAGAGCAAACTCATCGATGCGCAGCTCCACAAGTCCCAAACCAAGCAAGTCAGTGAAGAGGAACAAACTTCACCAACTCTGTCTTAAAGTTTTATTTACACTGAATTATTTCAACAGTTTGATCTAAAATACATATTTTTTTCCAGCTGCACTTAATGTTTTGAATAGAGATAGGCAAAGATTAATCAATAATATTTAATCTTAAGATAAAAGTTTATTTTGACATAATATATGTGAGTGTACTGTAAATATTAATTATGTATAAATAATACACACACACATACTGTAGATAAAAACAAAACTATATAAACATTTTATGTTTAATAGATATTTAAATTTATATAGAATTTTTATCATATACATTAATATTTAATAACTAAATATAATAAATGCAAGTACAGTACAATACAGTACTACACACACACGTATCGTCAAAACAAACTTTTATTTTGCGTGAGATTAATTAGCAGGCCATATTGTAATTGTCCCGTTTCTTCTTTGTCTTCTTCTCTAGAATGAATTGCATTTTAAGCGTCTAATCATGCTCGAAAACTCACTAAACTTTGCACACACATAAGAAGTGGTGAGCATTTACGTTTGTTATAGGTTTCGGAAGTGGATATGGCAAAAATGACCCAACAGCGCCAGTTATGCACATGTGACGGAGTGGCCCCCGAGCTACATTTCATGCACATGTACAAAAATTGGCACACACATAAAACATGCCAATACCTACAAAAAAGTCTCTTGGAGCAAAATCCAAAACTGAACAGGAAGTCAGATATTTTTAACTTCCATTTTTTTAAAAAATTGCAGTTTTTGCCTTTTCCAGGCGTTATATTTTAACCGACTCCTCCTAGGGGTTTTATCAGATCAACACTTAGATTAGGTATTGTTAATCTAAAGGCCTTGGCGATGTTAAATTGTGAAGATCTAGAGTTTTCCTGTGTGTCCTCAGTGGCAGTCACCAGTTTTAAATATCAGGGATTTCATATTGGAATTCAGAACTCTTATGAGCTTGTTCTGGCAATGTCATTTAACAGATCAACTAATGTGTGTATGACAGAAACACTGATACATCCATGTGCTCTCTCTTCAGGTTTGGTATCGTCCTCCATAAGAATGAACCAGCTCTTCACAAGATCGACTTGGAAACCACGTCATATGTTAAAAACATCAGCCTGCAGCAGTACGACTGTATCCCACAATCCCTGGCTTACACACACCTGGGCGGATATTATCTGGTCAACTGTCGACCGGACTCAACAGGTGCGGCGCGGCCACAATTAATCATCGACAGCATAACAGACAACGTCATGGGCCCTAATGGCGACGTGAGCGGCACACCTTATGTCTCTCCTGATGGCCACTATTTAGTGAGTGTGGACGACCGTGACGGGCTAATGCGCTTACAGCATGTGTCCGTACGGGGAGAGATCGGCCAACCCTTTGACATTCACACCAACCTGCACCTGTCCGATCTGGCCTTCATGCCCTCGTTCACTGAGGCCAACCAGTATAATGTGTTCGGAAGCTCCGGCAGGCAGACGGATGCTCTTTTTGTGGAGCTCAGTTCTGGCAGTGTCAAAATGATCAAGAGCTTGAAGCAGCCCACGGCGTCGGCGCAGTGGCCCTGGAACCGTCAGAACCGAGTTATGACCGGAAGCGGGCTGTTCGGACAGTATCTCATGACCCCGTCACAAAGCTCCCTGTTTATACTGGATGGGCGTCTGGATAAACTCAACTGTGAGATCACCGACGTTCCCTTGGGAAATACTGTGGTGTGGGTGGGAGAGGCGTAAGACGTCTTAAAAAGGGGGCTTGAGAGGGAAACAACAAACAGGTTGCACTGAATTCGGTCTCTGTTTAATTTATCGAGCAGTTTGGAACTAAATCTAATTTGACTCTGCATTGGAAATGAGAATTGTGGGAAAGGCTTGGCAAGGCTTTCGAGTCAAATAGCTAATAAGTAGTACCAAAAAAAAGTAAAAATGTAAAATTAGATGGTGTCGAACTAGCTTTGATTGAAGGAGATCGAATGAATCGATTTGAGTGATGCGAACGCAGAAATAAATCATCATTCGTCCTCATTTTCCCACTTGAAAAGACCTCCAAAATGCATTCGGCCCATTTTTTTCCAGTGCCTTGAAGGAACGCTCGCTTAAAAAAGAAAGTAAACATAATTATTCCCTGCGAGCCTGTGGATAAAACGCGGAGAGAATGCGAGAGCTACACTTTAAATTTCACCTGTTTATAACTCCCACAGACCCCGAAGCATATCTGGCTTATTAAAACAGCATCGTGCTGAGAAACCGTCACCTCCTGTGGATATTGAGATATCGGTAATGGTGTTTGACAACTGTAAATCTTCATGAAAAACTAGGGTGCGAGAATGACGACGGCGAGTTTTTTGTGTGAACCCCTACACTGAAAAAAAAGCAACCGGCTAGATATAAACGTAACATACCTAGGGACAGTTATGATCCTGTATAATCTTAGTAAGAGAGGCAGTAGAGTTTCAAGGGCACATAAAGAATCAAGTTTTAGTTGACTCAGCAGCCGTAAGAGTCTGCTTTCAGTAACTGGTGCGTCGCGTGGTGTGATGTTAGACATAATTTATGCATTGCAAGGGTTATATAGCCGGGGAATATTTATTTGAGAGTCACTTTGCTACAAGAGCACGAACTAAGGAATATTTAGTGTCAGTAGGAAGCACAAATGTGTGCTCACGATATTGAATTATTTCCTCAACGGACAGAGTCTATGCATTTTCATTGAAACGCCAGCCAATTGGCTGCATGAATTGAGCTTTTCCCCCAAATTAGTTCCGTTTTCATGTTTTAGTTGTAGATTTTGTATATTTTGTTAAAATGCACACACACAAAACAATGGCTTTTTATTGAGTGTGTTTTCCTTATGCTCCGAGTAACCATGACTCTTTTCTTTTGATTTTTGTAGTGACTTGTGTTCTGTAAATAGCAGATTGGTCTACGCTCGCGTACAACAGAGTAGCCGAAATCATCTTCAAATGGTTCAGGTTTCCCCTCGTTTATTTTTAAGATGAAAGAACTGCACTGTCTTTGTTCCACAAATGACCAAGTACATTGTGATGTCACATCCAGAGATTTCATCAGCTCCATGTAGCCATGTATGTTGATTCTTGTGATTGTTATTTATGTAGAAACATGCTTGACATTTTGGCAGTTAAATAAAGCCTATAACTTTGAAAAAAAGAGAGGGTTTGGGGTGTTATTTTGTCAGGGTAATGTGAGTGGAATGGACCAGAAAATGAATAGAAATCCCAATCCACCTGAATTTATGCATTGGTGCATTGACAAATTGATGGATTAAGTATGAATCTTTTCAGCTGGAAGCAGGTACATCCCACTCCAGTAACCTCTAAAGATGCTCTAGCGACAGATGCTAAAAGCCATGGCCTTTAGCCACCTTGTTAGAGCAACCAACTCTCATACAAAGTATCACCGGTTTGATCCCAGCTCAGACTGGGTTGGGTGCAGTAGGACCGATGGGTTACACGTGGGGGCTCGTCTGGGATGGGAGTGAGGTTTAGGAGGGTGACTATAACTGAGGTCAGTTAGGAAAGTGCTATGCAGGTAACCTCACGCTTCTGACCTCTAAAACTGCTCTAGCGACAGACACTAAAGGTCATGGTTTTTAGCCTTCTTGTTAGAGCAACGGACTCCCGTAGCTACAAAGAACCACCGGGCAACCGACTGCCATAAAACAAGAAGAGCCAGTTCGATCCCAGCTTGGGGACCAGGTTGGGTGCAGTAGGACCGTAGGGTTACACGTGGGAGCTCGTCTGGGATGAGAGTGAGGTTTAGGTGGTTGAGTGTTATGGAGGTCTGCAAGTGCTATACAGGTAAACTTCATCCCTCTGACCTCTAAAGGTGCTCTAGTGACAGACGCTAAAGGTCATCGTCTTTAGCCTCCTTGTTAGAGCAACCGACTCCTATAGCTACAAAGAACCACTGGTTTGATTCCAGCTCAAACCAAGTTGGGTGCAGTAGGAACTGTGGGTTATATGTGGGGGCTTGTCCGGGATGGGAGTGAGGTTACGGGGGTGCATGTAACAGAGGCCAGCTTGTGAGGTGCCATGCAGGTAAACTTACTCCTTTGACTTCTAAAGGTGCTCTAGAAACAGATCTTAGAGGCCATGGTCTTAAGCCTCCTTGTTAGAGCAACTGACTCCAATACAAAAAATCGCCGATTCAATCCCAGCTCAGACCGGGTTGGGTGCAGTAGGACCAGTGTGTTACACATGGGGGCTCGTCCGGGATGAGAGTGAGGTTTAGGGGGGTGAGTGTAACGAAGGTAAACCTCACTCCTCTGATCTCTAAAGGTGCTCTAGCGACAACCACTAGAGGCCATGGTCTTTTACCTCCTTGTTAGAGCAAAAACTATCATACAAAGAATCGCCAGTTCGATCCCAGCTCAAACCAAGTAGGACTGGTGGGTTACAGATGGGGGCTCCTCCAGAATGGGAGTGAGGTTACGGGGCTGAGTGTAACAGAGGCCAGCTTGTAAAGTGCTATGCAGGTATTTATAATCACCGGTTCGATCCCAGCTCAGACTGGGTTGAGTGCAGTAGGACCAGAGGGTTACATGTGGGGGCTCGTCCGGGATGGAAGTGAAAATTAGGGGGTTGAGTGTAACTGAGGCCAGTTAGCAAAGTGCTATGCATGTAACTTCGCTCTTCTAACTTCTAAAACTGCTCTAACAACAAACACTAGAGGTCATGATCTTTAACCTCCTTGTTAGAGCAACCATCTTCCATAGCCACAAAGCACCTCTGAGCAACCAACTCCCATAAAAAAAAGAGCCGGTTCAATCCCAGCTCAGACCAGGTTGGGTGCAGTAGGATCAATGTGTTACACATGGGGGCTCGTCCGAGATGAGAGTGAGGTTTAGGGGGGTGAGTATAATGGAGGCCAGCTAGTGAAGTGCTGTGCAGGTAAACCTCACTCCTCTGACCTCTAAAGGCGCTCTAGCAACAGACGTTAGAGGCCATGGTTTTAAGCCTCCTTGTTAGAGAAACCGACTCCCATTCAAAGATTCGTTGGTTCGATCTCAGCTCAAACCAGTTTGGGTGCAGTGGGACCAGTGTGTTACACATGGGGGCTCGTCCGGGATGGGAGTGGGGTTTAGGGGGTAAGTGTAATGGAGGTCAGCTAGCAAAGTGCCATGCAGGTAACTTCACTCCTCTGACCTTTAAAGGTGCTCTAGTGACAACCACTAGAGGACATGGTCTTTAGCCTCCTTGTTAGAGCATCCAAATTCCATGCAAAGAATCGCCAGTTTGCTCAGCTCAGACCGGGTTGGGTGCAGTAGGACCGGTGGGTTACACTTGCAATTATTTATCTCTCCAAATGTCATCTTTAACAATTCAAAATTACAGCATGCTCTGTTTGACAGCTACACTTAATTTATTATATAAAGCAGAAGCATGTAAATATCAAAATCAGTTGAATGTTTGTAAGCATTCTGTATATAAATACTCTATCTGGGAAAATGGCTATGTTAGAAAGCTTCTTCTTTTCCACTTCCCCTTTATTTTTTCTCTCCTCCTATCTGTATTCCCTGCCTTCTCTCCAACTGATCCATTACATTAATAGTCTCCTTTTTTCAATCTCGCTCATAATGCCAAATGAATGCACAAGTTGCTGCATGAACGAGAGCAAGGCGGCGGTGCAATTATCCATTGTCGGTCATTTATCTTTCCTCCATTCTCTTCTCTCATTATAGGCCGCACACCCACCATTTTTGGAGAGATTTGTGGATAATTTAGTGGCCATGGTTTAATATGTTTATACCCTTCCTCTTTTGTATGTCTGATCACCATCATTCGAGATTATGAATGTCCCAACGCCCCAAAAATACATGCCTATTTTACAAAGCTCATTCACAGCAAGGATGATAATTATAGCTGTAAAGTTTGAGGACAAACTTTATTGTTGGCTTGATAAAACCTGTAGACTGAAACGTTAAAATGTATGGACATGTTGCTAGCATGTTGTTAGTATTTTAGCAACCTTTTTGCTTGCATGTTCTCGTATTTTTTATATATTGCTAACACTTTTAGCATGTCACTAGCATTATGTGCTGCTAGCATTTCTAGCATAAGTGCTGGTATATTTTAAGCTAAATTTAGCATGTGCTTTGCATGTTTAAGCAAGATTTACCACATTTCTAACATGATCAAGCACAATGCTAGCTCATTTGTTGCTAGCATGACTTAAAATTTTGAAAACTTGACTATAGCATAATTTACCATGCTGACATGTTTATTAGGCTATGTTGTATGCACAATTTAGAACATTGTTAGCATGTTTTGGCTAGATTTACCATATTTCTTGGTTTAGCACATTGCTAGCATACTTAATATGTTGCTGGAATAATTTAACATTCTAGAAGCTTATTTCTAGCATGATTTACCACACTCCACACATTTACCACAACTTGTTTATTATGTTGCAAACTTGATTTAGTACATTGTTAGCTGCATGTTTTTGCCGAATTTTCACATTTCTAACATGATTAAGCACAATGCTAGTATGTTTAGCACATTGCATGATTGAAAGCATGCTTCTTGCATAAAATACCACACTGCTAGCATACTCATCATGTTGCTAGCATAATTTAGCACATTGTTAGTATGTTTAAAGCACTTTGTTTTGTTTTTCAGATGAATGATTAAATTATTTAGCATGCTTTGGCAAGCTTTATTGCATTTCCCTGCTGAAAAATACAGCTTAAACCAGCCTAGGCTGGTTGGCTGGTTTAAGCTGGTTGACCAGCCTGGTTTTAGAGGGGTTTTGGCCACTTCCAGGCTGGTTTCTAGCTATTTCCAGCCTGGTCTTAGCTGGTCAGGCTGGAAAATGACCAGCAAAATCCAGCTAAAATCAGCTTGACCTGAGTGGTTTAAGCTGGACATAGCTGGTTTTGGCTG